TGATTGTTTTCATTAACTTCACCAATTCTTCTGAAATTACAGATTTAGCATATAACACAAAGCCATATCAATAGCCAGTCAAGAACTGGACACTTGATCTAAGGTCTTCTGCTTTTACATTCAACCTGGGCATGCCATATTGTCCTTTGATCAATCTTGTCAAGCTACTGCCTACACTGATGACCTTGTTTCTTTGCTTCACTTTTTCATTCTGTATTTAAAAAGCGTCAACTATCCTGGATAAATTCAGATCCCACCCTCAAAGAACTAGTGAAATGACAACACTAGAAGCTTTTGAAATCTTTGGATTCCTGCAAATCCCTGAAACTGATACCTTCTCCTCTTGTGCTGACAAAGTTGAATAATTTGACTGGTTAAATTTTCCTTGAAGTGAAAACGTTCCAGGAGTACAGTATAGTAAACCCAATGGGAAGATTTGGATGAGGTGACTAATATTGCATTAGACAGCAATATATTTCAAACGCAGGGTAACCAAAGCTATGAATGCCATATCAGTACCCCATCCTCAGTCCTTCTGATGTGTTTGGTAGCAGGTACTTGAACAATTGATCAATTTTTCTCCATGCAATCCACAGCCTCCTCACTGAGAAAATCTATGGTGTTCCCCTAAATTGTAAGTTAAAAACTCAACTCATCATCCTTTAATGGATCAATGGCATGTTTTTTTTATACCTTTCATTTCTTGTGTTCAGAACATGCATTTGAGAACATAAGCACTATATCATATTTGTGGTGAATAAAGGGTTGGGAAGAAGAATTTACAAGAAAAGAAATGTATGCACACATTCAGCCAGGTTGTGGCCAGGGTTTTCACACACAAGAAGTAAGAGTATATTCAGAACTTTCTTACAATTTTCAATGTACAACAACTTTTTGACTTTGAACTTTTGAACTTCCTCAAAGGTTTGCATCAAGATGGTGTTGAAGATGAATTGTGTATTTTCTTGTAGAATCTTGTCCATCTAAAGATTCAAAGACTTGCTGTTGATAGGGAAGTTTGGGGTTCTGACATTGAGTTCTTTCTTGGCGTCAGGGATCCTGCTACCACGGAATCTGTGGAGAGTCTGATTCAAAGGAGGCGCCCAATCAATGGGCAGTGCTAATAAATCACAGGTTTAGCGCAGACCAAACCCAAAGGCAAGGTCATTCTTTTCTTTTTTATTGGTTGTACCAATCTTTCTTTTGTGTTGGTACATTGGAGACAATTTCAGCCATTTGTTTTGGCTTGAATGAGAAGGATATTAGCTGTTGTTTTTGGCTTTTTTTTGGCGGGAGGATAGATTCCTGATTTTAGTGTTGGTTCCTTTGGGAGGAACAAAATTGGAGATGCAAATTGCTGTTCTCCAAGAGAGACTGATTTTCTGTTGAGGAAATGGTTTTTTGCTGAGAAGGAAACCATAATTCAGCATTTTGACGTTTTTGGGTTTTGACAAACTGAAAGTCAAGGCTTCAAGGCATTTTGTGCAAAACTACAGTAATAAAACAGACTCCTTCTCAGGGATATTTTTTGGGAGCAAGGACTTCCCAAAAGTTCAACTGCGCCCCCTCCTCTTCTTTTCCCAACAATATTTGTGGTTTTTTACTCAGAGCATCAAAAAATCAAAGCCTCACTAATTTGAACTTTTTCCTGGTCCCTAGAAATTTGAGTTAGAGAGGTCCAACTGATTTTCAAAGCTCAAGAAACGTATTCATTTATATTCCTATTATAGAGCATCCTCCATCCTCATGCAGAATGTGGTTGACTGCAAAATGAAAAATATAAAACCGAAAATAATTTCAACTGCTGCCTTCTTGGTTTTTGTATTGACACATGTCATTCTGCTCAAACCCTGAGAAGTTCATCTGCGGAGGTTTACAAGACGAGAACCAGATCCTAAAAAAGATATCCAATTTGCACAGCCACAAGGCTGAAGTTTATTTTAAAGGACAAAAAAAAGGTACTGTATAGGTAAAATTCAGAAGAACCAGCAGAAACGTCCGTTTGGGATATGGAGAAAAGATTGGCACGGGTTTCGTGATCCATCACGTGGATCAAACACAATCCAAACAAAGCAAACTTGCTTGAGGAATGTTCGGAATTGAAAAAGTCGATGGCGCCACGGATGAAGTTGACCGAGTTTTGTTGGCTCATTTGGCTTCTTGGTGCGCCGTTTTGTTGGCACCGTCTGGCGCCATATGGAAAAGTCTATCTGGAAAAACGCTAGGAAACAAGGTGTGCATGTACATACTTGCATCAGTCAGTCACAGGACTTGCCCAGCAGTGAATGATTCAGTGACTGTAGAAAATTTTCATATGGAATCTTCTTTTTTTTATTCTTTTGAGTGTTGCGAGCTTGCGACTATCCATACTTCAAGTGCGAGGATTTATCAGACTTTGTTTGTGTGGTCTGTGGAATGTGAAGATGGAAGGGAACCATAGTCTTATTACTGTATATCATTTATGAAACGTTGAAGTTATGCTGGATATTGTCCTGGGATTTAAACATTAGCTATTTTTGTAGGGATCAAAAAAGAAACTTTTGCAATGTACAGTAATTCAGTTTGATTCAGATGACTTTCAAGGCCAACAACTGACAGACTATTAATGACAGTCATCAATGAAAGACTGGACCGTAGTCTGTAATTGATGAGAAGCTAATGACCTAGAATCCTGTTGCAAAATATGCAAAAAAAACCATCAAGTAAGAATCAAACAAAATTCAATTTTGAGTGTATCAGAACATCATTGAAAGGAGGCAAACGTTCAGCAGGACAGAACCAGGCAATTGTTCAATCTCCTGCCATGCTCTTAATGAAGGCACGGTATTTAGTAATTCCTCATATACCTTAGCATTGTAAGTTATAGGAAAACCATGTTCCCTTTTTACATAAGTACCATTTTAATGCATGGAAAAATTTGAAGGGGTCTTAAGCATTGGCAACTGGCACACATTCCTGTGGCCAGTGACCAAATCTCCTTTCTTCTTGAATGGTCCACCCAGCTTAATCCCTCAACTCACCACAAAGGGAAATGAGCTGTTAGGAAACCATGCTGGACACCTCAAATGGGTACCTAGAAAATCTACCAAGCAGATAACCAACCAAGAGCCCTGAGACAACTTAAGCCATCTTGGAATGTTGACTACTGTTTTTTTGAATTATGAAGGCCTGCTACCCCCATAGCTACCAAACTTGGTTCACTATTCATTTTTCTTCCTATTCCCATCCAGGGAACATGAGACTCAGAAGATTTTCCACCTACCACATTTTCTCCTATGGAATTTTAACACAAGGGCCCAGATAAATGTTTGAAAACAATTTTTAAAAGTATGAGGCCTGCAGGATTATTGGCTTTGGGGGATTTTTGGGCTGCCAGATATTTTCTCATAAAGTACTTGAACAGGGCGCCCATCAAGATACATTTTCAAAATCAATTTCAAAATGTGTTACTGAAAAACTGGGGATCTCTCATACACAAGGGTTCAGTAGTATCAATGAATTGCATGGGATTTTGAAGCCAGCCAATTGTCAATTTTTACTGAAATACTGTGTATGAGTCTGGGCCCTGCTGAAACTTTGAAATTATGCCAAAGAGGATTGAAAAGGCTTGAAAGCCCTTCTTGGTTGGTTTTCCACTTGGTCAATCTTTAAAAAAAAGAGAGAGAAATTACTTGGAAATAGCTTCATTTTTGATGGAATTCTACTGATGGAATCTCATTACTGCACAATGGAATAAGTTTTCCCCAAAAATTATCTGTTGTAATTTATGATTTGTTGTATGTAGAGGTGCATTGAAACAAATTCTAAAGCAGTTTAAATCTCCTCCAATTAAATTTTATTGCAAAGGATTATTGCTGTCTGATGATGATAACAAAGTCTTTTATAGGTCCTTCCTCTCTAGCCATAATTTTTTTGAAATAGTTTCATAAAAACGATTTTTCTCCTAGGAAATCCTTTTTCCCTCCTGTTTTTGATGTCGAAAAATATTTTAATTTTTTATTCATGGCTTTATATACGAGGTATGCATGCTATGCATAATCACATCTCAATTTTTATTTCAATATTTAATTTCCGATTAATTTTTCATGCAATTGCCATGCATTTTCCAATCAGCAAAGTAAAAAAAACATTACTTTTCTTTGAGTTACAACAAACTTCTGCAGAAATTTCATTGCAATCCTCTGTTTCAGCAACATTCCAAAACGTTTTTAGTAAAGTAATCAGTCGCTGTTGTGGAACTTTCAGTTCTATAGTCATTATTTCATAAACCCTGCACTTCAGGGATTCAAGCAATTTTCTGACTTGAAAGTCAGAAATTGCATCATTGGACATTCATAGACCAGACAGTTTTAATCTTTTTGAATTGAAACACTGTTTTTCATGCGAAGAATATTTCGATTCCTTGACGTTGTGGTTAATGAAAAAAATTCAAAGGATTTATTGAGACACTGTTCCTTGAAAAGTTGAAAATAACTTCAAAATCTCCAACACTTGATCATGGGAAATATTGCGAATAATTCAACATGACCTTATTCCTTAGGCAGAAAAAAAAATCGATCAAATGTGTTCTGACTTCTAGGTTTATTTACGCAGAAGCAACGAAAGTGACGTATCTATTCCCATGATATAATATGAGGATGAGGTTTTTTTTTTAAAATAAAATACTGTAAGTCCTTTGTCCTTTCCTTCACGAACATTGTGGCGACATCTATTGAAGGACAGAAGCTATGCAGGAACTCCGGGGATTCCCATAAAAACGTTTCTTGAGATGATTGGATTTGTTCACCTTCTTTCTCTTTCTCCTGGCTCACGAGCCCATACTTTGAGGGGGCGACACCTATACTCACGGACTGGAAAGAGCGTCACTGAGATCAGTGCACTCGAACAAGATGAAGCGGAGAAGAGTTTTATGTATACAGTAGTGTACATTCCTTTTGTTTTTCTCGCCAGTATTGATTTATTTTTATTTTGGCTTGCTATATCTCCGAAGCATCGTGCAAATGGCCGACGCGAAAAACCTTTCCGCTTACGACGCCATCCGCGACACCTACGCCACTTTCGGCCTTTTCCTCTTGTTCGCGGCGACCACGTACACTGCCACGACTGTCGCCAGTATCGACGGCGTGGTCCATCACGGGTACCACGACGGCAACAGCATGCGTCGGTCCTCGGTACCACTGGTCGTCTCCATTACCCGCGGGGAAGAATGCCTGTCCACCATTCTCGACAATGCCGGAGGCTGTTACGACCCGGGGTTCCTGGCTGACCCGCGAGGTGGCGCCGGTCTAGTTTATCGGGCACCCTGCGCCACTCGCCTGCGTCGCATGTACCGACACAATACAGCGCCATCTGCATCAGCAGCAGTGGTGCATCACGATCGCAGGATGTTGAGACATGACAATATTTCATCAGCAGGAGGAGCAGGAGGGATGCTGGACAACACAGGTGCTGTGGGTTTGAATATTTCACAAACAAAGCAAAATGAACAAATCTGAAGGAATAAAACCTGGGCAATTGCAGCGCAAAGAACACATATTCATATAGGAGAAAACTTGAATATATGTTTCTAGTTTTGTAATAATTTGTTTTTCAGTTTTTCTCAAGTCAAAGAATCTTAAGAATTCAGCACAATAAATTGAACACACAAGATCACATCAAATCAAATAAAACATTACATTTGTGAAAATCTCAGATAGAGATTTTTTTTCTACTGGGGTTCAGAGAGCACTGTTTATTAATACCTTCTTTAATCAAGTACCATGTGTCTGTGAGTATAAGATGGACACTGGGGTTTTCCAGTCAGGAATTTTAGTAAAATCTTATCCCAAAATAAGATTTGCACCCACCTTTGGTGACTCTAAAACCACACTGTTTAAAAAACAAGAAAATCAAAATTTGGATTTACACATAGAATAGACATGAATTGAACTAATTTTCCATTATATCCAATAAAATTAATTCAAGTCTGACCAATATATCCCATCGGAATTAATTATGATGCACCACAACAAAAATTCTAAACCTTTTTGAAAAATGTATACATATGCTATCTTGCAATTTGACACCCCAAAATTTGGCAGTACAATCTGCTGGGATGTTGACTTGCAATTTGACCTCTTTTTCCACAATTTGACTTTTGGGGAGACTCAAAATGTCAAGTTGGATGTGGAAAACGTTCAATTTGACATTGTATTATTGCAATTTGACGCTTACCCAGCAATGGTTTAGGGTCATTTGTGGGGCACCACATGTACCCGCAAATGACATGCAATCCTTTTTTCCTCTAAAATTTAAGGGGTAAGGTGTCCATTGTATTCCAGTGAATACCATGAATTGAAATAAAATACTGTGAGACCCCAAGATGCAGATATAATTGGTGCATCAAAAGTTATCCTAAGTTTAAATGTCCCTAAGTCAAATCTTGTTTTCCCTTATACTGTACTTATATTATTTAATTTTAATTGATGATTTTTGTACAAAATACTCACCATGATTCCATGAAAATAAAAATTCTCTCCCAATTCAAACGGATTCCAATCAATATATTTCAACACAATATCAACAGTTGGGGAAATGAATACTGATACCTCTGTAAAGTACATAGAAATGTTGTTGGTAAAAAGAATATTCAAGTGAAAAAGAGAGAAGGAAGTCCCTCTTTGCTGGAGGTTATTTTTTTAATTAGCTAAATGGATGGTAAATTGCTGAGAGAAATGCTCAAGAACTTTTCTTACATCAATTTTAGGGTTGGAAATATCTGTTTCTTGTGATTTGGCCTGAAATGGATTTGCAATTTTATAACAAAAGTCCATATGTTGAGTCCAGTGTCCTCATGTTGGGCCTTTTTTATTAAATTTATATGCAAAAATAAGTGTCCCTATGTCAAATTGTTCACAGGTATAAAGGTGTCTGCATGTGGTGGTCTCACTTTGCCTTTTATGATTTTCCTGGAACCCCATTAAATTTCCAGGCCTTTCAATTGACTGGAAAAAATATATTGTAAGAATTAAAGAAGTTGATGAGCACATTGGAACAAACAGCTGATGCGGGAAGAAAACCTTCATCCATGTTCTCCCCAATACAGTCATGGTGGATGGTGCGAGCAGCAGCAGCAGCAGCGTGTTTTCATCTAGACCAGCAGCAGCAGCAGCTGCTGCAGACAGCGACGCAGACAACTCTCATCACACACGGCCCCAACTGCTCCTCCCGGACGCGTCCCCGACGCCATCAACAACAACACCAATCAGCAACAACAACAACAGGGCGTCTCGGTTCCTATCCGAGTTCCGCGACTGGCAGAACTACACGTGCGCGCCCGAGTCGTGCAGTCGAGCAGTGCTCGACAACCTCACCAAGGCCTTTGCTCAGTGCGTCTTCAACAACATCGCCAATTGCTGCTCCTGCATTTTCCACGCCTCGCAGCCCCGCAACTGCACGCCGGAAGAAATCGCATTCGCTGCATCAGCAGGAGGCGTTAAAACAGCACCACCACCGACGACGACAACTACGACAGGGTCGAGAACACCATCAGTCCAACGACAGACGGCAGTCATGCAAGGGACAGAGACAGCGCCAGGAGCAGTAGCGGCAGCAGCAGCAGCAGCAGTGATACAAGGTCCAGAAGCAGAGGCGTCTCTTTGGCATCCGCCACCCCTCAGCAACGGCCAACGCAAATTCCCAGCTGCGCCTGTTCAGTCGCCCGTGGATTCCGCACTGGGCGTCATGGCGGCCTCTGGTGCTGCGGAGTACCAGGCTCCGTCGACACCAGCGACATCTCTGAATTGCGTCAAGGCGGAAGGCCCGGCTGTGGGTATGATCGGAGACTCGGCATCCGTGTTTCGGGACGATGATGCCCTGATGAATAACAGCACTGATGTCAATGCAACTGTTGTGAATTTATCAAAGAGCGAGAAATCCAAGTATAGCAGCAGTCAAACGTCAGCAGACAATAACAAGCACGCGGAGTTATTGAAGAAGAATCACTTGATGTCGTCGAAACACGGGAAAGAGGTTGCGAGCGACACCTCGAGGAATCATGCGAAGTTGGACACAATGTCCTCTGGCAAGCATTCGCACGATGACCTGATGTCCAAGTATTCTGAATTCGCTGCTGTAAGTATCTTTGCCAAAAAGAAAAGTTCAATGGGTCAAAATGTATGTTCATTGCTTTGTGCTCCCAAAAGACTAAACAAGTGAACCTTGATAAGTCAAACCTCCCTGAGTCAAAATTTTTTCCAGTCCCTGTCTGAATTCTTTTAGTATCAATACATTAAAAACCTCCGTAACTTGGAGTTTGTTTTACAAAACCTCTGTAAGTCGAATTTTCTGAGGCCTTCTGGTCATTATTCTCTGGAAATATGAAAGTTAAAAGGATTAAAATAAATAATTTGATGCATCTTGAAAGGAATTAAAAGACTAATACTGTATAGAAAATGAACCCCTGCCTCTCAGTTCAGCAAGGTAGTGTACCCCAGAATATCCTCATTTATGATTTCCCAAATTTTTTCCACTCATCACAACAAAATTCCTTGTTTCCTCAACTTGAAACCTCAAAAAGTGCAAACCTCCTTAAGTCAAAACCTCCCTAAGTCGATTTTTTCCCTGGTCCCTAGAATTTTGACTTAGAGAGGTTAAACTGTATTTTAAATTCAGAAGACTCTCAGCAGTGAAACCCAAAACGCAAAAAGGATTAACTAATTTATATTTTCATAAGATTACAATCATGGCTATCCTCTGATCATAATTAATGAGAGCACTAGAAAGTAGTTTTTAAAATCAGGATATTATCAATACAAAGGTTCTGCTTACACATTTAAAGGGAGGTTTATCAAAACAGAAAAATTAATTTTAAATAGTTCAGCGCATACAATTGTTCTGAAGACCCAAGTATTCGATATTTTAATATGAAACTCTCAAGTTCCTCAACCCAAATCTTTTCAGACATTAGGGAGGCTTTTCGTTCTTTTCTAAAAAGAATAAAAAGATGATTGCATAGTAAAATTTAGTTGAGAATCTCACTTCCTGTTCTTTCGTGTGTCACGAATTTCATTAATTATTTTGCATCGGAAAATATAACACGATTTGATTTCATGAATGTGTCATTTTATGTCTAACAAGACCAAACATTTTTCGTATGCAGAAGCCAACAACACTTGACACTTTATGAAAGAAAAAGATATTGAATATCAAAAATACGTGGGCATTTATATCTTTTTTTGCAAATTTTTCACTTACACGAAAAATGAAAATTCAAAATATTCTCCTGGGAGTTGAGAGTTGAAATGCCTCTTGAAATAGTTGTAATTCTATGCAAATACATGTAATCAAAATATTTAGCATTGTTTTCAGTCCCGACTGATCTGGAAGCAGTCGGAGGACGAAACAAACTAAAATCGCTTTTAATTGTATTCATAATTGAGTAATTAATAACACGAACATCCTCTCGACTCTTTCGTCAATCAACTAATATCGCGGGAATATTCAAATGAAAGATACTAATGATGAACGTAATATTCTTCTCGAATGACTGCAAATTGCATAAGATATTCTCACTTCAAAATTCGATTTATATGACCATAATCAGAAATATCTAAATCTTTAGTATCACATTTTCAATTTGTGAAATATGGCAAGAATTTCAAGTGACAAAGTTCAGGTAATTGATCTGGCATTGCTTTAAAAATCAACGTAATTATGCTGAGTACAGTATGTTGAATGAAGACAGTGTCTGTGTCTGCTGAGAGCACAAATAAATAAAGAAATTTTAAACTGAGATTTCATTTCTATATTCCACAAATGAGGAAAAGGTAGATGAAAACTGATGCTAATTTTTTGCTTGCATATTTATTCATTCCAGAAATTCGCAGAGGAGAACGGAGACATTTCAGGGACAACAGACAATAATAGCAGCTCTTCAACGACATCAACCCAAAATATAGAAACAACGATTGCCTCCGACTTCCTGCAATATGATTCAAAAATGTCCAACTACCCTTTCTTCTTGGATAATCCCATCCCGAAGATGATCCCAGGCAGCAACAAAACCTCCAACTCTTCCACCTCCATGACTTTCACCACCAAGAATAATCACGACATAACCAAAAATAACATGCATGGTTACCCCCTGAAATCTGCTGGATTTTTTCCTCAGAAGCAACATCAAGGTCAACTTCATGGAGCCACAAAGAACACCATCCCTGGGGCTAATTTCCTGCCCTTGACAAACGGCGGCGCGAAAAATCTGGATGACCTGAAAAAGACTGTTGGTCAACAACAGTTGCCAATGGTCCTGTTGAGGCTGATGATGGCCAAAGTTCCCGTCGAAAGGAATGAGAGGAATGATGATGAAAAACGGCCACATTGAAAAGAGGGCGCAGATATTCATAATATATATATATTTGCGGAAAAACACATTTGTCCTCTGTTGTCCAAAGAAATGCAAGCTTGAAGAATTGGGATTGATGCATTAAACTTGGGAGCCGAAATAAAATTTCATGATGATCCTCCAACCTCTTGAAAAATTTTTCAATTGTAACAATAACCATTTGATTTGAGATGCTGTTCAAATTTTCTTAACTAAAGTATTTGGGAGGGAATAATTAATGAAACTTGTGGCCAGAAGTTCAATGGGTTACTTGTTAAATTGTTACCAATCTCTCCCTCTCACAATAATCTTGCATTCCAGAGTGATTAATTCATAGGAGAACGTTATTACGCTTATTTCTGCTATGCTAGGAATGTACTATAGTTGGTAATAGTCCTTTATGACATAGTTCAACTTTTTAGAATGCAGGATATAGTCTGAAATTTGTGTTGATAGTGCATTTTCCATCCAGAAGAGTGAAATGAAAATTAATGCCTCAATTCTGAAAAAAAGGTGATACTGTATTTACTGGAGTACCATGCACCTTGAAGAAGGCATGTAAAAGGGTTTTGCAATTAGATATTTTGCTAAAATCTTATCCCCAAGCGAGACATGCACCCAAATTTTCAGTGACTCCATACCAGGAAATTTTTACTAATGAAAACAAAACAAAAAATTGACTTTAGACATGAGTTGAACAAAAATCTGATCAATGTTCAACTTTTTCAGTAAAAAAACAGTTTTCTTGTTACATTTGTTCAAAATTTCTCCATTATGATTAAGAATAATGCTCACATAACCTCCAAAAACTTCTTGAAATATTTGTACCTGCTTATGATGTGCACCCCTTTTTTTCTTCTGAAAGTTGAGAAAAAAGGTGGGTGTGGTGAAATATATTACCAGAAGAATTACAGCTCAAAGTTAATGCTTCTCCTGAATAAGCAAAAACTTTGTTGAAGATGGTAACATTTTTAAATAATGCAGGTTATGCACAACAGAGAACTGTACATTAATGATTCATAAAAAATAAATAATCTGAGCATCAATGAAAAAAAACTGAATGTTTCAACTTTGAAGTTGATGAGATGGAAATAAACAGGAGAAAGTTAGAATCATATAAAGAACTCATTTTATTATTAAAAAACTAAATGTGGGCACTGTAAATTGTATAGTACAGTATAAAAGTTTCATTTTAGAGATCATTTTCTAACAATAAATACTGGAGTGAAAAATTTCTTTGCACCAGATAATATGGTACAATCTGCTATTCCCAATAGAAATATACTTGCTTGCAAATAACATAATATTTTATGCGTGGAAGCCTTATAAAACCTTTCTGAACATTTGTCAGAAGTGCTTTTTATGAATTTCTGGCAGTTATTTAAGCTCAAAAAGAGGCGCAAACGTATTTTCAAGTCAGCAAACTGGGGTGATTTCTGAATTCTGATGCACATAATCTGGTGTAAAATTTTGTGATGATATGAACAGTCTACTCTCTACTGGATTTAAAAACTGCTGTTCTATATAGACCAAAAATCTTCCTAGTTTTTGGGTCATACTACCCTTAAACAGGCAGACCCTCATGACCTTTACCATGCACATGAGCATAGGTATGTGTATCAAAATGCTTTTCAGCGGGTCTCTGCCACATGTACCAAAGCATGAATATAATTGCGGGTTTTTGACCAAGTCCAGCCAGCACCATGACGACACAACCGACACAAGGACAAAATCACCCAAGCACACATGTGCTTCAAACTACACTCCCTCCCTTCTTTTTTTTTTTTTTGGCGACCAGTGAAATAGAGAGAGAAAAAAATACGTATTCGCGGTTGAGTTTCAGGCAGAAATATGCGCAATAAAGCACCCAGTGGGCGGCACGAAGCAGGGATAAAAATCACTGGTGGTGGACGTTGTCAAGGTTGGGGCTTGCAACAAATACATGAAGGTTATGGGCCTGCATGGAAACCCCTTGCCATTGCTAGGGAAAAATTGAGCCCCGCACTTTCCTAACCCTCAGTTTTGGGATAGAAAGAGAACCACACCCTCTTTCTGACTGAGGGAAGGAAAAAAAAGATGAGGGTTTCTGCTTATTCTGTGAAACCTTTCATGGGACTTTTCATTCTTCTCACCTGTGGTAAGAAATTCCTTCGAATTGAGGATAGCTGGAACTTGAGTTCAAAATTCGAAAGGAGTTTTTTACAGTGTAATTCCCTCACAAAGAATTTCGTAATAACGAGTCTTTCATTAAAACAGAATTTGTCTTGGTCCCAACAGTTTCTTCCTATACCAAATGTCACAAACATTTTATATTAATAAAATAGTTTTCCCTTCAATCTCAGTAAAGCCAAGATTTGTTTCACTTGAAATGTTGCATGGTTCATAGGTGCTTTCAATGATTGGCACAGGAATGGGAAAATCCAAATTCTGCATAATTAAAAAAAACCAAACATATGTGATTCTTCAATCCAATAGCGCAAAACATGCATAAATTTTCTTTTGTATAGAATCGGCCTCATTTTTGCCTGGTGCACGTCATACACAAAAATCCATGCTGCATACAGGAAAATCTTGTTTAGAAAAACTACAATAAGTAGTTTGGTAAAAAATGTGTCACCTTGAGATTTGTGGCTTTGAACATGGAGTGATTTGGACTCAAATGCAGAAGAAAATAGGCAATAAGTGCAGTGGAATGCTCCTGCAACATACAATGTAAGGTGTGTCATCATTCTGACTATTTGATTAAATGAAAAGCAAAAGTCAACAATACACATCTTGCATTCTACTTTTCTTGCCCCTGATAGTGTTTACTGATGTTGAAAAATCACACAAAACAAAATCATATACCAGAGAATGGCTTCCTTCCACATTCACTCATTCATCTACAGGGCACCTGTATGTTCTTTTGAAATGAAAAAAAATGTTTTTATTGTAGACTGTTTATATCATGTTGGGGACTGAACTGATGCCCTAATTAATTGGGGCAAAAACTAAACCACACAATGAAAATAAATTGGGGGGGGGGGGGAACCACCCAAGAAGAAATCTTTGAGGAATGCACTAATGTCTCCCCCTCCCCCCCTCCCACTAAAAAAATAAACTTGGCACCAAGATGTCTTTGACTTGACTTTTTTGACCAAATCAGATGCCTTGGCACTGTCCTGCGCTTGATCCAGTACACTGATCAGGGACAGGAGAAGCACAATTAATAAAAGCCCATTTTTTATCCAGAATCATCATCAGTCCTAAAGGTTTGTTGTCCCAGATACCTTTAGGTGAGAAATTTGTTGAGAGGTTTTTGTGTGTTAAAAAAATGGTTCTGTCTTGTTGCTTCTGGCTATTCTTTTCTTTTAGGAAAAGTTCAAGAAATATAATTTAATCTTAAATTTTCAAATCTCCTCAAGAGCATTCCCTGCATCCTGTCCCTGTTCCCTTTTTCTATTCCAATTTTGATCAAGATATTTTTCTTTTGTGAATCTCTTTTTAGTCCAAAATGTAAGAAAGAAAGGAGCCATTGCTAATTTTGTCTTATGAAGCGGAAGAAATTCCAAGAAAAAAAATGCTGTAAATATATTCCATACTAAATTTTAGGTTTTATTTGTTTTGCTAATGTTGTGTTGCTGCACAAGTTTGCTTTTGCCAAAAATCAAAGAATCCCTATGGCTCATAAACATAATTTTGACACAGCAAAAGATTACAGGTGGAAATAAGTTTCTTGAATCAAGGTTTTTATATCAGGGTCCCTATAGTTTCCTAAAAAAAAAAAAACTGCTGGGAACCACAAAAAGAAAACATTTTTGTTGCAATGAAAAAATTGCCACAACGTAATTATTTGTAACGTAATTTTTCAGTACGGCATAAACAAATGCTTGTCCATTCAGCTTTCTTTCCAACGCAGAAAATGTTCATCGGGTGTCAAGCAGCTCAGCGTTGACCTGCTACGTATGCAAGCCACCTTTTTCCGGCGATTCAACCAGCAAGAATGCTGCCAATGACGTGAGGAACACTCAATATGGAATGTTTTTGGATCAATCCTCCATTCAAACATGCGACACATTTTCACCAACTGGAGCAGCATTCCAAAAGTCTTGCAAAACTGAAGAACCTGACAAAGTTGTTGTTTGCAACACCATCACCAATGGTAAACAAAAAGTTTATTTTTTCCTTTTGGAAAAAGTGAGTTAATGGGGAAGGTTCATATTTTGTGGAAACAATGCTTCCTTAGATATTGAGGCACTTATCCATGCAGCAATGATACTTTTTACAATAATCCGTAAGATAATGCGAAGCTGTTCAAGGTGGCAGAAAAATCAGTCTGTCAGTGTTGCACCTGGTTTTTTGCATTGTTAACTTGAATAAAAGCTTCTTTGAACTATAAAAAAAATTTGTTTCGTGGAAGGGTTTTCGCAAAGTTTTTGATAACTAAATTCCATTCATCAATGCAGTAGATCAATATCCAGAGGAAAGCTTTTGTTTGTGCTGCGAACTTATTTTTAGGCATTTGTGAATTATTAGAAGTTTTACATTTTTAAGCACCCCTCCCAAATTGTTCAAGGTTTAAAAAATTAGAGCTGGTTCCATTATGCCCAATGCAAACCAAAGTGTTGACTAAAGATTATTGAGTGAATCAACTTAAGGAAGAGGAAAATATGAAATTATTGCTTATTTGAACATTTGTTCAATACTGTACTCATATAAATGGCATTTTGATTGATGAAAACAAATGGAAGCAAACCCGCAAAAAAGGGAACTAAAAGTATTAAACTGTATTTTCCCCTAAAAGTTATTTGACAATCAAATTCGACATGATATTTTCAAGACGCTGTTGAGTTTATCTCAACAAAATTCAAGTTTCACTTCAAACGTTGATTCGAAATCGATAATTGCTCCTATAATGGGAACATATTTTTCTTTCTCAAATGCCATGAAGGATTCCTTCTGATTTTCGGCCAAATGAAGCTCTCCAAGTTCTCCAAATGAATTCAAGCAAAACATTTGAGAGTAAAGTACTGTAGTTGAATAAAACATGGATTGAGAAGAGCAAATGACCAAAAAGCTTGCCAAAACTATGGTGAAAGTGCCAATGAATTTTCATGCATCCTCCTAACGTCCAAACATAGTCTTCACCACAAATTAACTTTTGAAAATATAAAACGTGAGTTTTGAAAATGTCTTCATTCCATTGGATATACTTTTAACTAACAATCTTCAATAAACAGCGCAAACCACATCTAAAACTTAAATTTGCTGCCTGTCTTGGAATTTGGGAATCATGGAAACCATTTATTGCACATCAAAAATTTACCTTCTTCTCTCAATTTCTGCCCCTCAGGAATTTGGGTAGCAAGATCCTGCGAGACAATTTTTGCTGACGATGCTCCAAAATGCAGCCTGAAAAGCGGAGTGAGGAGTTGTCAGTGTGACGTTTATCTCTGCAACCAAAACTCCTCGGTTTCTCACAAGGTTTTACCCTTGCTCATAATTTTCTCAATCATCGTCTCACTGGCTTCAATGCTTCTTTAATTCCAATTTTTTTTCGTCAAATGGAAGCCGGTTTATCAGCCTACTCAATTATTTTCCCTGAAACATCACAAATGTATTCTCACGGATACCATATATTAATTTAGTATGAAATCGTTCACCTCAACCAAATCCACGTTTTGAGACGGATTTGTTGTTAAAACTACCCAATGACTGACGGAATGCAATAAACATCACATGGTGAACAAAGGAAAAGACGATTGATCAATATATCAATGAATCATACGGTTGCCGGGCCAACAGGAAATCAGCCATGGAACAAAAAGCAGTGACGAATTTGAGTAAGCTACAGAACAGGCCAATTTTTATTTTTCAAAAATAAACGTCTATTATTTATACATAAATTTTTCGAAAATAATCCCATCATTCAAAGCAAAATTAACTCCATTCTATAATGAATATAACATCAATCAAAAATTTTAGTCATCAGCACAATTCCAAAATGAAGCAGTATAAAATCCTACTTCATTTCAGTAGCATCAGGAAGCTTTGCAAAACTAGATGAAAGGTCACAGGCCTCATGAATCAAGTAACCTGATGCAAGTTTCGCTTGAATTATCAGATCAGAGAAAATGTTTTTGAAACCTGATGGTCCATGAGAGAACTGTAGTATTTACAAGATTAAATCTGAAGAGAGATTAAATTCATCAGCAAAAAAAAAAAAAAAATCCGCTGCTGCAAAATCTTGGAGTGAACTTATGGGTTTTTTGAAGTCTCTTTCCAAGTCACTCACATTTTTTTAGAAAATGAAAATAGTACAAATGCTGATGCAACCCAAGATACGTCAGAGGTTTAGCCCCAATACTTCTAGTGAGTCTTCATGAAAACATGATCACTATTCACAATGATGTTTCCGTTGACTTTGTTTTCAAGGTCATACAGTGGTGAGCTTTACATTTAGTGCAACTTGGACAATATTTTGAGGATCTTCAACCATCCTTTTTTTGTGCCAATAGTCATTTGATCAAGCCAGAGAAAATCAAAAGAAGCAAGACAAATTTGAAAAACAATGAACTGCCATTCGAAACACAAAAAGAACATCATGCTGTTATTTTATTTCAGCAAAAAATCTGCTGATGAACGTCATACAGAACAGTGAGACCCCCACATGCGGACACCTCAACCTACAGAAAATTCAACATAGGGACACTCATTTTCCAAGAAAAAATCAATAAATAAGGCCCAACATTAGGACACTGACTTGACATAGTGACATTTTGTGATGAAATTGCAAATACATTTCAAGCCAAATTACAAGAAACAGATAATCCCAACCCTGAAATTGATGTAAGAAAAGTTCTTGGGCATTTCTCTCACCAAATTACCATCCATTTAGCAAATTTAAAAAAAGTTCCTCCAGCATAGAGGGACTTCTACTTTTTTCACTTTGATGTTACTTTTGTAGATGGCAAAATTTCAATTTACAGTACAGAGATACACTGTTCAATGCTCCAAATGTTCTTATTGAGTTGAAAATGTATTCACTAATTCCAGTTCATGTGGCAAACAATTTTTTTCAGGGAACTCTGAAGAATATTTCTTCCATTAAACACCAATTAAAAATTATATATTGCAAGTCTATTGGAAAACAAGACTTGACTTAGAGACATTTTGACTTGGGGACACTCTTGATGCACCAATTATGCCTGCATCTCCAGGTCTTACTGCATTATATTCATGCAAATCTGAATATTCTCTTAGATTTTTCTAATGCAAATATTAATATTCCATTATTATATATGTGATTAAAAACACCCACTTGATTTTTCTTGCTTCTGAATCCCCAGGAACCAAAAATTTCTTACTAAATGAAGGTTTCCCTCAGAAAAGGAAAGCACTGTAGTAACCCTTGTTTTTCCGTATCTTGAAGATTTTCCACAATGATTATTTTTACAGGGGTAATAAGTGAATTTAATGTCCTTCTGCCTAGGAGGAGTATCAAATGAAGAGGGGTTGCACGTCTTTGAAGATTCAACCCTTGTTCATATTCCTCAACTCACAATAAATTTTCATCTAGATTTAATGCACAAAACTGACTACTGTGTTTATTGTAATGAGGTGTTTGAAATAGAAAAAGTGGCATCTCACCCCATGGTAGAGAGATGCCACATTTTTCCAGTTCCCTCAACTCATTGAGAAGCCTCCTGATGTACTAGGCAAGATGCATTCAACTCCCCACTGTTTTACACTTTCTTACAGAAAAGTTTTAAAATGTATTTTACATTTCCCCTTGATTAACCTGCATTACATGCTTCATGGCTCTTAGTGTCAACCACAAGCAGTCTATATTCACGTTTCAAACCCCTCTGCAATATCAGTATTTAAATCTTGAAGTATACGCCCTGTGGTTCAAAACATTTACACACCTTTCAAATCTACATGTCCAACTTCTAAATTTCTTGTTGAGGTCCATTATCTTTACTTTTCACCTTCTATTGAGAAGCCTCCTGACGTACTTGGCTAGATGCCTTCAGCACCCTACTTTTATTAGGCTATCTTACAGAAAAGTTTCATAATGGATTTTACATTTTCCCTTCTTTAACCTATCGTACATGCTTCATGGGTCTAAGTTTCATCCACAAGAAGTCTACATCATGTATCAAAACCCCTCTGTAATTCCACAATTTAAATCTTGGAGTATATGCCCTGTGGTTCCAAACATTTACAAACCTTTCAAATCTACATGTATCACTTCTAAATGTTCTTGTTGAGGTCCATTATCTTTCCTTTTAACCTTACCCCTAAAACTGAAGCACATTGTTGTCTATTAAACTGATGTTCCCCCCTGATACTGAAGCCAAATGAACCCCCAAGAATGTGTCATCTCATCCAAAATCACTCTACAATCAAAATAAATTTACTTGTTAACTTTTGTGTAAGGTTTTACCAGTAAGAATTAGATTAATCAAGCCTT